TGTTACGCCCCTCACATACTGTTGATGCCGTGTCCCGGCCGGAGCGACGAGACAAAAACACTAAAACCCATTACAAACGAGGCATTTGTTGCATCCAGTGGGGACATAATTACTGATTGTAATGACTTATACTGTGTTTTTACGCTTTGCTTTGCGTATTGCGCCGCGTAAACATAAAACCATGTCTGCATTTGTGATCGGAGAAATGCCAAACAATAAGTGCTACTCTACACTGCTCAAACTCGCGTTTGAATCATCAGTGGCAAATTCTTTAAATATAAAAAAATGTACTTACAGGCTGTGAGTCAGAAGCGCCAGACTGTCCTTGCAAAGTTGGAACTGCCCCACTTTATAGAACAGTCTTTTTGCACAGACACTTTGTAGGCTACTCTGCAGGTTCAGGAAACAGTCCTCCATAAAATTTGCTGCACACATCTGAATATTTGGGTTGAACTGTTCTGGAACAGTGTTGTAAATACAACTTAAAGGTGGGGTAAGCGATTTCTGGTAGCCAATGTTGAAATCAATGTTGAACATTTGAAATCACCAAAACAAACCCGCCCCTACCCCAAAAGGGTCTCGCCCCTATTTTGATAGCTCTGCCCCACACATACGTACGCAACCCAGGCAACGAAACTGTTTAGGGGAAGGAAGCGAAGATGAAACCATAGCAGATAGCCGGGAGGGTGAGAGTGAGCATAGGTTACATCGAAAGATGACATGTGGAGGGGTATGTATTGTGTCAGGAATAGGGATATCAATTTTCGATTATTTGCATGATTGATCGTCGTTTAAATTAACGATCAATTAATCGATTAATCATTAACCTTAATACTGCAAAATGCACCTATTGCAGTGGCACATAGTCACCGGCATGACAGGATGTGCAAATGCCACTCAAAATGCAGGCTTCCTAACCCGAATTAAAGGTGGGGTAAGCGATTTCTGGTAGCCAATGTTGAAATTTGAAATCACCAAAACAAATACACCCCTACCCCAAAAAGGTCTCACCCCTATTTTGATAGCTCCGCCCCACACATACGTATGCAACCCAGGCAACAATTAGTTCTGTGAAACAAAGCAAAACCAATGTTACACCGTGTCTACACCGGACGCAAGTGGCGCGGCGCGACAAAATAATATGGAACTCATTATAATCAGTGATGCTGTCTACACCACATAGATATATATACATATCTATGGTCTACACTGGATTCGCTTTCACAACGAAACACACAGCGCCTTCACGACATGGCGGCGGCAGCAACAATACTACAGCGAGAATAAAAGTTACGCCTTCTTTCTTTGCGTGAACATTTGGGCGGTGTTATGCAAATCTTCCCACATCGTGACGTAGACATGGGGGCGTGTTAGAACGAGCCGTTTTATGAGGGCGTGGACAAGTCTTAACTTTTATAAAGAATATCTCTTTGGGTTTGAGACTTTAGTCTTTGCAACTTTAGGGATCTTATATATGCACGAACAGCTTGTAACACTCCAAAGAGAAAGGAAAATTTGAAATGGCATCATATGACCCCTTTAAAACTGGGCAAATGTCCCATATTTGGGCATATTTTGGCAATTTTGAAACTAAAAGCAGTAAAAACTTGTTGAAAATAAAATAATGTTTGTGTGATTTAGCAGTGAGGTTAAAAGGTTTGAAGACATGTGACACTCTCTCCATGCTGTCACTTTAGATGCAAAGTCTCACGTTAGCCTGAGCGTTAAAATGCCCTGGTGTTCCCGCTCTGTCAAGACCGTCCTTACATCTTAATACCCAGGTCACGAATCCATTCAGTCCAAGAAATGTCAGGTTTTTACTGTAAGCCTTTAACACCTGACATTTTTATTGCAGGTAAAAAAAGATTCCTTTTAGGCCAGCGTTGAAAAAATCTCTGAAAGGAAACTCAAAAAGGCCAAGAGTGTCAGCGCACAGTGGGGGAAATGTGCATACTGAATGTCATTGTCTGCCAGAATCATCTTGTCCATCAAGTTCTCACACATCTGATGGAACTCGAGCATCAATATATTCATTGCTGCAGGAATCACTGTCACTTATTACATAGTCGTGATGGTGTTTGTTTGACTTTTACAACTTACTTTTGCTCAAAGATCAATTTATCCATGGTTCTGCATTTAGATTGGTGAGTGTGTGTACACGTTTATGCTTGAAACTTCTCAACGTTTTCCAATAAAGTACAGTAGGATGAAACCAATGAAATTTTAAGAGCTTTTTACACTGCACTTAAAGGGATAGTTCACCCAAAAATGAAAATGATGTCATCATTTACTCACCCTCATGTCGTTCCAAACCTGTATGAGTTTCTTTCTTATGTTGAACAAAGAGTTTGGTTCCAAAACGCGATAAATGCCATTTAAAAAAAAAAAGTTTGTTTATACTGCCAAAATCAGTATTGTATCTGGTCAGTATTGAAAAGTCCATTTTTAATTTTACGCAAAATGCGATATCCGCCGAGTTATTCTGTCATGTTTTCTCCCTTTCTTTTCAAACCGCGACAAACACCAGTCTCCCTTCTCTGCAGAATGCGATATTATCTGCTCAACCAATCACAACGCACCATTCCACACACTCTAGACAGTATTGGCGGCGCTTTGAATACACCCGGCATCCTAGTTTTCCTCATCTACTGTGTACTTTGTGATCAACAAACAAACTTAGGGCTGCACGATAAATCGCATGTGATTGTCATGCACATCTCGGCAGTAAAGCCGGTTCTGTGAATAGTAAATCTCCATCACGTGCTTTCAGATGGATACACAGAGCCGTAGATCACTGACAAGATATGCAATATCGCGTTCATAATCGCAAATGAGTCGCATTCGATTATGAACGCGATATTGCGCAGCTTGTCAGTGTACGTGTTTTTATTAATGCCATTCATGTTTTTGTTAATACAGCGTATAGCACTAGTCAACTAAATTAATGTAACATGGCAAAGATTAATGCACTTTTGGAAGTTGAATGTAAGGGAAATGTCATTTTGGAATTTCTGTGGTCTAATGTTATATTGTTGTTCATGTTCTTGTTCATGATGAAATTTTATTTTATTGTTGTAATTAATTTATAGCATTAACAAGATGCACTAGTCAAACAAATGAATGTAACATGGCAAAGATGAATGCACTTTTGGAAGTTGAATGTTAGGGAAATATCAATTTGGAATTTCTGTGGTCTAATGTGATGTTGTTCATGTTCTTGTTCATAATGAAATTTTATTTTATTGCTGTAATTAATTTATAGCATTAACAAGATGACCCGTTGAATTCATTTTGGGAGCGATGACTGATTGAATGTATTTTTAGTCCAGTGCCTCTATACAAGATTAGTATTGACCAAGTTCAGAGGCTGTCATATGTGGATCAACTTTCTATGTTGTGTATTTTCAACAGTTTCAATATGAAAAATTACTTTTATATTGATTCAATGGATTTATTGCA